TGGTTAATAAAGAAGATGACTGGCCAATAGTTGGACAGGTAGAGGTTAGGTGGGACTTGTAGACAAAAATAGAGTGTGAAGAAGAAGGGGAGGAGTCTTGGGCATCTCGAGGAGACGCAGAGAAAAGCAAGATAAACTTGCCATGTTGCAAAAAGGTACTGCCATGTAGCAGAGTGTAGATTTAAAAAAAAAGAGTTAATCTAAAATGTAGAAACTAGTTAATAACAAGCCTGAGCTATCAGTGGGACATTTACAATAAATGGTAAGTCTCTGTGTGTTTATTTGGGAACTGGCTGGCAGACAGAAAAGTATGCCTACAACAAGTAGTATATTTCAGCTATAGTAGTCCATGACTATCATATAAAAACTTCAAAGGCTGATGCATGAGGATCATGAGTTCAAAGCCAGCCTGGGCTACATAGTAAAACCCTGTTGGGTGGTGGGAGGGGGGCATTAGTGACAAACTACTTTGGCTCCAGTCAGATCTTGATTAGTTCAAGGCCAGCCTGGGCTACCTATCAATTCCAGGCTGAGAGGGCAAGAGCAAGGAGGAGTTGGGGGAGAAGAGCTAGTAAACATTTGATGGTTCTTGAAAAATGTCCACTGTTTGTGCAAGAGAAGACTACACAACACTTTATACCGTAGGATCTCAATTTCATTATTCATGGTCAAAGCATCAATATTCACTCCTGAGCTGGACATGCTCTACACACTTGTAATCCCCACACTCAGGTAACTGAGGCAGGAGGATAGAGATTTGGAGGCCAGTTTGAGCTACATAGCAAGAACCTGTCTTAAAGGGAAAAAAAAAATCCAAGCCAAGCACAGTGGCATAAACTTGAAATGCCAGCATTCAGCAAGCTGAGGCAGAAAGGTCGTTGTGAGTCCCAGTTCACCTTGGGCTGCAAAGTGAGCTATCCCAAAAAGATAACAGAGGCCAGGAAGATGGCTCCTTGAGATGGCTATGCACTCCTGACACCTGTTTTTGATCCTTAGAACCAGGACTGGATTCCATGGTGCATACCTCTACAGTCTTAGCCCTCTTACTGCAAGTTGGGAGGCAGATTCAGAATTGGCCTGAAGTTCTCTAGCTGTGTGTCCTGGAGTACACAGAACAGCTAGAGAAATAACAAGAGAGGTCCTGCCTCAAAGCAAGCAAGGAAGAAAGAGAGCACTGGCTCCCACCTGTGCTCATACATACTCGCTCATCTCTCTCTCTCTCTCTCTCTCTCTCTCTCTCTCTCTCTCTCTCTCTCTCCTTCTCTCTCCCACCCCCCCATCAATATCTAAAACAAAACACCCACAACAACAACCAAACCAATACTGGATACAGTGTGGAGTCCTTGAGTTCATGCACATAAAATAAAAATAAATTATTTTTAAAAATATGTATTATTCTCA